AAGGTGGGTGGGTGGACTACAATTAGACCCTCCTGCCGGTTCCCTCTTCACTCCAGATACTATGTTTATTTCCTGTGAGCGGGCCCAATCCTGAAACACTTCACAGAGGATTCTGATGTGGAGACATGGACAGTGAATGAGCTTTCTCCTGCCACCTTGGGCCTGCCCTGGGCCAAGACAGGAGTGTTCTCTGGCGTCTCTTGGCCCGCTCTTCCCTCCATTTGGCTTTTCACCAAACACTAATAGGGGACAAGGATCTATCCCTCCCTCAATTCCCCTGCCCCTGTCATTTGCTATCAACCTCTTTCCAGATTAGGTAAATGCAGATTTTTAGAAAAATGAACAATGTTTTTTTATTGGGGGCCTAAGAACACGTCACCTGCAAAGATACACACAAGAGTTTATAAATAGTCCTGCAGAAGTCAGATTTCTCTGGATGGGGCTGGGCGCTATGGTTCATGCCTGTAATCCCAGCATTTTGGGAGGCCAAGGGTGGTGGATCACTTGAGGTCAGGAACCAGGCTAGCCAACATGGTGAAACCCCGTCTCTACTAAAAAGACAAAAAAATTACCCAGGTATGGTGGCTCATGCCTGTAATCCCAGCCACCTGGGAGGATGAGAGAGGAGAATCACTTGAACCTGGGAGGTGGAGGTTGCAGTGAGCTAAGACTGCACCACTGCACTCCAGCCTGGGCAACAGACTGAGACTCTGTCTCAAAAAAATAAAAAATAAAAATAAATTCCCTGGGTGGAATGACACTGCCCACTCTGCCTTACGTTAGAATGTTCCAGATCTCCCCGCAGGCTCATTCCTCTCCGGTGGCACAGAGGACACCATCCAAGAACATGGACTATTGGGAAGCAGGGGGTACAAGGCAGGCAAGGTCCTCCCACCCTGGAAGTCTAAGTGGGAGGTATATTAACAGCCATTGCAAGTCATTTGAAATTCACATAAAGGCTTCTTTGAATATTTCTCACAAGAACTGTTAATGAAAACATTTCTAATTACGGTACAAGACTCACTTGGGCAAAGATGATGTCTCTATTTCTTACAAGCTATAGGTTGTTAAAGTATTTAACCTTTCAGAACCTTAATTTCCTCATCTGTAAAAAGGTGAAGTTCTTGAAAGGTAAAATAAGATAATGTATATAAATCTTGAAGTATTGGGTCTGACACAGTATCAATCATAATATTTTTAAAAATGTAAAAAGCTGTGTTGAAGGATTCCCTTATGCCAGGTGTCATTCTATGCAAGTTGGGGCCTTCAAAGTCCACAGCCACCCTGGGAAGCAGATACTATGACCATTTCTATTTTAGTTACAGAAGGTGAGAGGTCAGAGGGGTTAAGTAATTTCCCCAAGGTCACAAAATGAAGTCTGGATAAGAACCAAAGCAATCTTGCCCCCTGAGGCAGACCTGGCCTCCAAAACGCTGCCTCTTTCTATTGTCTAGGGATATCCCTCATTAAAAGGCAGTAATGGGTAGTCACTCATATTTCATAGGTATCATTTTGCCCACTGCCCGCTACCTGCTACAGGAGTCATTTTTACCTTGCAAATGTGCATGCTGTTAAAAAAACACACTGCTTCTTGTAAAATACGATTACTTTTCAAGTGCTGTGTCCCAAAGCCAGGATGCACAACCTTTCTCTGGAGGGGCCTTGCACCAAATACCCGAGGTAGCCCAAGAGAAAGAACAAGTCCCAGCGGCCGGCTATTGTCAGAGGCCAAGCTGAAAAGCTCTCTGAGCCTTAGCTTTAAGTCTATAAAATGAAAAAACAAAGTTGAAAGCCATTCTGCTGGCCCTTAGTCTCTGCTTCCATCCCCACGACGGCCTGGGGAACCATACAGAGGGCAGGCTCTCGTCTTCATTCCTGGCCCAGGCACTTATCCGCACCCGGGTTGGGGGCGGGGGTGAGGTTCTCCAATCCTTCATAAACTGCCCACCGCGCATTGGGTGCGTTCCCCAGGTGCTCCCTTCTTCACCCAGCTGGTGCAGAGGGGAGATAGTCTGGGGAAGCAGAAGGAGGTGTCAGTGCCACCACCTGGAAGTGACCCCACCAGCGGTGCGGTGCGCTCTTAGACAAGGCTGGCCTTGAGAGGGCATCATGCGCGGCCTTGGTCACTCCAGATGCCCAGGGAGAAACGCAGCGCAGCAGGAGCAGCGCCTCGTCCCGGCCAGCCCTAGGGCACACAGCTCAGAGATGCCAGAGCAGAAACGCTTGCCCTGGGGGAAGGGGCAGCTCGCTTGTGGAAGTGGGCAACTGGAGCAGCTGTGGAAGATCCAGGAAAGGGCTGGAGGAGCTGGCCCGCCTGCCGCCTTAGGATTTTCGCGGGGGGGGGGGGGGGGGGGGGGGCCAGCGGGGCGGGCTAGGGAAGAGGGAGCTCCAGGACTCTCCTAGCTGCCACCTCTCTGTCATCAGCGAGGGAAGGAGCTCTCCTTCTTCCCGCAGTAGAGGGGAGTCAGCGACTCAGGCTGCCCTTCTCAACAGCAGTGGTACCTCCTCTCCCCCGGCCCAAGGATGCTATTCTCCAACCCTACCTAGACATAAGGTTTCCTTTTAAACCAGGACACCCGTGCTGTGACTGTTACCCAGAGTTTCGTTTCTTGTTTGTTCTGGTAGATCAGAGCTGCTCAATTTTTCCTCGGAGGTTGTGGACTACATAGATTCTTTTCTTGGCTCCAGATTGGTGGTGGGTGGGGAAGGGGTGTACGAAATACAGAATGTGGCCCGTCTACATTGCCATCACTTTATTGTACTGTCACCCTTAATTTAACTATAAATACTACGGTGGGATGAGGCGCAGGCAGCCTGGGGCTGCTGGGCTGTGGGTCCTGGCGCGCCCCGACCCCAGGCGCCGACCCTCCCGGCTCTGTACACTATTTACAGCTCCTCGTTCGTCTTTCTCGACCCCCTCCCGCAAGGCAGCGCGTGTGCAATAAAGTAGCGTCGTCTGTCTGTGCAAGTCCTTCGAGTTAGGCAAGTAACACGGGCAAGTGTCCCGCGGCCGTCAGCTGTCCGAGTCCAGATCGCTTTTACCTTCCTCTTCCCTCTTCTCCGGCGATGCCTTCGAGGACGACGTCTTGTTCCACTTCTCCGCGTTCTCCGACTCCTCGGATGAGGACCGCTTCTGCCGCCTCCATTTGGCGCGGCGGTTCTTAAACCAGACCTGTTGCGCAACGGAGGACAAAACAGTTCAGATCAAAAGAGAGCTTCCCCCAGTCCCGGGGTACCCCGGGAGCGCGGTGGGGCGGCGGGACACCCCGCGCAGGCCAACAAAAGGAGGGGAGCCGCTAGCTCCCGCTTCCGCGTTTTCATTCAACTTCCTGGGCCTAAAGCGCCCTCCAGCAGCCTGCGGGCCGCCATCGGGACGTTTTTAAAGTGCGGGGAGAGCCAAGTACGGCTGGGCAAACCCGTCTGGGGCCCCACCTCGCGGGGAATGACCGCTAGGCACCCGCGGCAAGGCTCGGTGCCTACCTCCACTTTCTCCTCGCGGAGGTGCACTTTCCGGGCCAGCTGCTCGCGAGTGCCCACGTCCGGGTACTTGGTCTCCTGGAAGAGGTTCTCGAGCGCTTCGAGCTGCTCGTCCGTGAAGATGGTGCGGTGCCGCCGCTTCCGCCGGCAGTGCAGCTGGTTGAGAAGCTGCAACTCGGTGCGCGACAGCGTGCCCACGTTCATGTAGGGCAGCATCTGGTGCGGTACCGGGGACACGAGCACCGAGCCGGGGCCCTCATAGCCTGCGACAGAGTGGGGCGACGGTCAGCCACCCGCCCTCGCCACCGCCCTCCCGCCAGCCGGCGACCCTCTTCCACTTAGAAGTCGTCTGCAAGGGGGTGCTGGGAATTGGGGGTGCGCAGGAATCAGGGGTGCAGGGAAAAGTAGGGAGCATGTGAGAGCGCCTACTCGCACACCCCCCAAAGCTAGTTAGATTATAAAAAAAAAAAAAAAAACCCTGTCTCCCCGTGCAGGCACTGAATTACAGTTTTCTCGAACTCTGGATAAAAGTTTTCAGCAAATTTGCAAACTCCGGCGCCCGATCCGCAAAAACGGAGCGGGGACTTGCAAGAGGAGCAACGTTTGAGGAAGGTGAATTAACCAACTGGCGCTAGGGACTAAGGACCACAGTGGGCGGCAGAGGCCGGAGCGAGCGCGACCCTACCTGGGGGCGTCGGGACGCAGGAGCACTGCTGGGCGCCCAGCGGCGGCACGGCCCCACAGCAGGCCGGGCCCACGGGCGCCGCCTGCACGTGCAGCTGCCCGTAGAAGTAGTTGTTGTAGCCGAGGCGGGAGCCGCCTACCGCGGCCTGGAGGCCCGCGCCGCCGGGGGCCACCGGGCGCGGGTAGAAGGCGCCATAGTCCGAGGAGGCGCCGCCGCTGGAGCCGTAGAGCGAGTCCCCGTGCAGGGCCGGGAAGACGACGGGAGCCGCCGCGCTGGGCGCCACCGGCAGCACCGAGTCCTTGCAGCGCGGCCGGGCGGCCAGGATGTTGTCGATGCTGAACATGCTGGCGGGCATCCCCGAGCCCCGCGCCGGGACCGGGGGACGGCGGGAATGCGCCGAGGACAGAGCCTAAAAGTGGGGGGGGGGTGGTCCACTCTCCTCCAGCTGCCGACCAAATCGAAAGAGAGCGCCGGCGAGCGCGCAGCCCAGCGCCCCTCCCCGCCCCCCGCGTCCGCTCTCCCTCCTCCCGCCCTCCCCTAGCCACAGCGTTCGCTGAACTCAACCAGCGGGTAGGACGGAGCTCAGACCAGCTGAACCTCTTGTTGGTTTTATACTGAGTCGACGTCATCCTGGATTTAGTTCCTGGTAATATGCAGATGACAAACAGCCGCTCTTTTCCTTTGGGTGGGGGAAGGGGGTTGGGGGAGGGGAGAAGTGCCAAGGGGAGGGGGTTACAAGGCCTAAAAAGAGATTGTGGATTGCGAATTAATGAAATTAACGTAATCTTTTCCATTCCGCAGCCGGGCCGCGGACTAGCCGAGCTGGGCGGGCGGCCTAATTGCCTTGGTTAATCTCATTAATTCCATTGTGCCTGGGCAGTTAACAACTCCCTCTGCCCGACCTCTCCACCCCCACCCTTTTTTTCTCAGATTGGGTCCTATTATTGGGTGCGATTTCCTCTGCCTGTAGCTCAGATTCATTGTGGACGATTTTACTCTGGGGCTACTTTCTTCCCTCTTTCGAAATGGGTTTTGTTTTAGCAAATGTGAGGGGCTGCGTCCCCTCTCAAGCAGGACTGAAAATTCCATCACTCCTCCGCGCCCCCACGTACTCACCGCCTAATTTCACCTCTTTTTTAAATCGTGAGTTTCTCTCCCGAATGGAACTCGTTAAGCCCCCACAAAAACTTTTGTTTTTGCAAAAGCCACATTTTGTAAAGGCAAAAACGACGAAAGGAGAGGTGCAGCGTGCTTCTTAAAAAGAAAAAAAAATTTTTTTTTTCTTTTGCCGCGTCTCTGGGTCTGAAAACTACCATAGCAGTCCCTAGGTCCTACACAGCGAAGACCAAATTCCGCCGCTCTTTCAAATTCGCCACCAAGAGTTGCAGTCTGAAGCGGTGCTTCCAGCTGCTCCCAGCGTGGGTATCGGTAGGTTTTGGGCTTTTAAAAAATTATTTTTGGAAATACGGTGTCTTCTCTCCCAAACCATTTTTTAAGCTTTAAATCCAGATGGGGTCTTTGGGACTTCTCTGTCTTCTTCCCCAATAATTGGGCCGCATTTTTCCATACGACGTGCTGGCTCCCGGATAGAGACAGACCCCCTACTCGCGGCCTTGCCCTTCCGCCTGGCAGCCCCAGAGTGGACTGCCTGGGCCCCAGTGGCGTGGACGATGGCCGGCTCTGATCGCGGCAGGCGGCCGCGGTGATTTGCGAGATTCTCGGCACCGCACTGGGCGCCGGCCGGAGCCACGGGAGGCGCAGCCAGCCCACCACTCACTGCAAGCAGGCCGCCAAGCGCCCTTCAGAAGGTAGGCGAAGGTACGCGCGGCACAAAAGCATTCCCCCAGATCCTGCGGACCAGGTACAAGACCGCAGTTTGCAACTCAGGCCACTCCCGGGGAAGGGGCAGGACCAGACCCAGGAGATACCGCCGAGAGCCGGAGATGGAGATGGGGTTCGGGGAGAGACCTCGGGTTTCCTGAAGGAAGGCCACCTTTAACTCACACCTATTTTTCGCGATTTCTCTCTGGCCAATTAACCACAGGACCCCGCAAAGTTGTCTGAAGTCGCCGCAGTTAAGGCTAAGTAAGTGGGCTGCCCACTCCTTGGCAGAAAGGCCACTTGTCAATTGCTGTTCAGGTTTCAAAGAGCCACTGCGTGGAGGTTTAGTACTGGCGGAGGGCACTGCTCTGGCTGCGCGCAGAAGCGGCCCGCTAGAGCCAGGCGGCGCTTCTCCTCCAAGGCCTCCCGGCGTGGACCTCTGTGTCCTCACGCTCACCGGCCTGTGGCCTGAGAGTTGCTCCTTCCAGTGCTGCGCAAGCTAGAGGTGGCTGGAGATGGGGATTAGGACAAGACGGAGATGGGTCTCAATTTAGAGAAACGAATAGATTTTTTTTTTTAACAAAAACAAGGGGGGAGTGTGACCCTCCCCTTAGAGAGGTGAGGTCTAGGGTAAGAAGTGAGGCACCTTCCATCTCCCACTGACTAAGATGAAGGCTTTTTTGTTGTTCGGTTCTCAGAGACTTAAGTCACTATGCTCCAGGACACAGACACTCCCCCACCAATCTTTCGCAGATTTACATCTACAGGGCAGTTGTTGGAAAACAACTAGAGGCTGCAACCTCAGCAGTGACTTTCCCTGCGTTTGTGTTGGAGGCTGGGCGTGCGCTGAGGTGTGCATGAGAGTGGATCTTTTAAGACCTCTGTCTGAGCCGGGCAGAGGCACAAGTGCCACCGGACGCTTAGGGCAGATTCCTGGTCCTGTTCTTGCAAAGATGCCCAAATCAGGATAGTGTCAATATTTCAACCGCAGACCTAGAAAAAAAAAAGTGTCTCCACGTTTTTAAAAGTAATTAGACAACTACCTCCACACACGCCTCGGTCTCTCTCCTTCCACCTGGCACATTGTTCTCTTCAATAACCAGGTTTAGCAAACTCCTATACTGCACCTGTGCTTCCCTGCTGCCCTTCGCTGTACCATCAGAGCCCTGTACAGGATCTGAGCGTCAGAGTTCTAGACCCAACCTTGCCACCTTGCAAATTATCCCTTCTCTGGAGGCCTCAAGATTTTAGTTGATCAAACCAACACGAACATTCATTGGGTCCCTTTGCAACCCTTTTTAAATGAGACTTGGTAATTGTCATCCGTTCACCAAGGACGTTGGGGATGAACTTGGGGGCATTTTCTTGTTCATTTTTCACTGAGACAAAGGAGTGTGCTGACCCCACCCCCGCCCCCAGACAAGGACAAGATTCCTATATCAGCTGGGTCTAAAATAAGGAAAAGCCAGTGCTCCCACAGAGGGGACTTCCCGGGAAGGGTGTCACAGGAACCCCAAGGCCACATAGCTTCAGACATTCTGTCGGGGCTCTCGGGGGGCTCACCTACTGCGTGGCGGGACCTCCCTCACCGTGTTGCCCCTTCAATCTGCAGCCGCTCCGCAGGGAGGCAGGCCCAGGGAAAGGCAGTCTGGGGTCGGTGCTCGCGCTGTGCCCTGGCCTGCGGAAACCCACAAGTGTCCTCAACGTGCAAAACAAACCATCACGGCCCCGTGTCGTCGTCGTCGCCTGGCGCAATTGGAATAACAAATGCGATGCAGGCAAATTGTCCGCCTTGTGTTGCTAAGCGATTGTTTGTCGGCCCCGCACGCACGGCTCAGCATGGGAGGACCGCTAGTGTCCAGAGGTAGCCGGCGAGAGCGCTTAGGTCGGAGATGCAATAAACATGCCGCTGATTTTCCCTATTATCACCCAAACACGATTTCACACAAAGCAATCACCACGCAGAAGTCTATGAAAATGTGTTTGTGGAGGAGTCACTCGCTCCGGTAATAGCCCTCATTTTTAAGATATTCAAGAATAGATCAGCGGATTCCACATGCATAAGGTCTATTTGCTGTTCGGCATCTGTCACCGAGCTTTTGCGCTGCGGTCATCACTAAATTGATTCATAGAGTGTAGATTAAATTGCTTCTCTGATTTAAAACAGTGTCCAAGTTTGGAGTATGCGTGTGGGTATCTTCTCCCGCCCCAAGATATTGTTTGTTTCATGGAGAAAACTGTCACCCCACATCCTTACACCCTACCGCATATAACTGTAAAAAATAATGCATCTGTGGCCCCAACTTCTTACGATTCGTTTCAGGAACTTCTTAAGTCTCTCCGTCTCCTGCCCGGTTACAGAGTTCACAATCGGATGTGTTTAAGTAGGATTTTTCGTGTCATGTGCAAAAAGCCCCTATGTCCTTTTCGAAGGTATGGGGCCCTCCTTGGAGGGCTCATTAGCAGGGTTGGAGGAATTTGGAGCAATGCGCTGAGTCCTCTGCAGCCCGCGTGCTGCGCGGAGACCCGAGCCGTCCTCACTGCGCGGAATGGTAGTGTTGTTTGTATTTGGACTTTTAAAAAATCTAGTCTCAAAGCTAAGTGTTCAAACCCGGCTCCACGGCCCTGCTGCTTTCCGGAGGAGTCTCCGGTAGCCCCAGGGGATTTTCCGTGTGAGGCTGGGTGGGTGGAGTAGAGCCAGAGGCGTGAATGCCTCCGGGCTAAGGGGCAGCGTGCGCTAGGGTTGGGTCTCCTGCCTTCAGAGTGGCGGGGCGTAAGAGACGCTTTCTAGCTGATTTTTGCTAGAAGTTTTGCAACGCTCCAAATAAAAGCACCCGAGCCCCTAAGGAAGAAATAATCAAGTGTTAGGGAAGCTCAGCATAACCTTGGAAGAGAAGAAGGGGCTGTCGAAAAGTGACGTGTTCCCAAGGCCTTAGAAAAAAATATATTGCTTGGGCTTTCCGGGGTTGCAGAAATCCGATTTCAGCCGGGCTATTTACCAAAGTTTGTTTCAAAGTGACTGCACCGTTGCTTTTGCAAATCACAGAATGCAAATGACGATAATTTGTTCTCAGAAGAACTTTCTCTTGAAATGATTAGCAAAGTCAGTCATTTGAAAATTAGAACGAAGCCCTTCGCTAACCGATATCTGCTTCTAAAGTTTTCATTCATGTAAACCTCATTAATGAAGATCTTTTATTTAAACGTCAAGGGGATTTGAAATTTCGAGTAAATTATGAAGCTTGTATGTCTAGCCAAGTCATGGGTCAAATGCATTTGTGAAAAACTGCTAAAGAGCATATGGTTTTGAATTTTTCTACAATGACTAGTGTTTAAATAAATTGCTTGTACTGCTTAACTTCATGTGTAATTTTGACAGAAATTGGCCTATAGCCTTTTGATATGTAAACATTTCAGCCTTTTATGCGGTATAAAAAAGACACTTGCTTTTTAGGATCAGCCCAGGCAGTCACCCTGTAATTCAGAAAGCTGGTACCTACCATTACATTCTTGTTAGATTTCAACTTTCAAGTGGCAGCCTCAGGGGGAGAAAAAAGCAAAGAAAGAAAGAGGATATTTCAAAAGCAATGTCCATTTGGGATTAAAAGCTACAAATGAGGTGAGAACGTGCCACTTACTATCTGAAAGAAATGGATAAACCATAGTTATTAAAGAACATTTCTGTCAGCTTTCTTTAAGCCAGCCCGTCTGAGGGGACACTTAAGCGGGGCTGGGGACTGACTAGCATGCCATTAAATGCTTGTCTCAGGGCCGAGCTAATCAGTCCAACACACAAATAGGTGTTAAAAATCTAGGTATCGTTTCAGAATGTTACCAGGGAAATCGCTCGCTCTGTGTCACAGAACCCATTAAGATGCAAAAATCATCCAGGGCACAGAATGGCTGGACGCAAATGGCTCATCTGAGCCTTGCGGAGGGTCTTTCTCGGTGGGAACTGCAAAGTCCGTGCGGGGCACAGTTAAGAGCCCTCTCTGGGCTGCCAGGGTTTGTGAAACACATACATATCTGCATAAACCCATTTGTTGCTAATATATCTGTCTCCCAGAAATAAGTCATTGAATGTGGATTGGACTGTGTGTCACCAACAGAGATTCAAAGCGCCCCTAGGGTTGCCCTCCCAAGTGCGAGACCCTGGCCACACGTCTAGTGCTGTGGTGGGGCAGGCACTGCTCCTTCCCATCTGCTCTCGTAGCCTTGCCGTATTTATCCTCCATGTCAGTTTTGTCATACACAGACTTTGCGAGAGACACCACCTCTTTTGTGAAGTTTTGAAGGAACTGGGAAGAAAGAATGCTCACTTCTCAAGGGAGACCAGTTCCTTTGTAAACAGTTGAGCCGACTGAGCAAATTGAGATCCTCTTCATAAAAGAGATCCTTCTGGGATAAAATCTAATTAAGAAAAAAGATGTGCTGAGAAAGACAGAAGGAGGTGTTTTGTTTACATTTCTTATGCATTCCAACTTATCATATTGGTCAGCAAACTGGGAAGGAAATGGACACATTTCATGACGTAAAAAAGGCAGGAGGCTTTTTTTTCTAAGCTTCTACACTGCAGTCTAGCCTTTCAGTACATTTTGAAATGAATAAAGGCACACGTTTTTCCCGTTAGCTGATTTTAAAGTTCTTGAACAGTTGATTTGCTAATAAAATAGTTCCGTAGCTTCACCTGTTGAACTTTGAGAAATGTAGCCCCCAAAACTGCTTGTGATTAAAATTAGCTAGGCAAGGTATATTTGGGGGGGAAGGGGGTAAAAGAAGGACACTTAATATGTAAGAGATAACTTGGGAGACTGAGGTTTGTTTGGGTTTTTTTGTTTGTTTTGCATTTTTTAAGGAAGAAACATCATAAAATGAAACTGAAAATTCTGGGAATGCTCACTGTGCCTGGGTGACAGTGTAAAGGTGGCATCCGGGGACTGTGTGTAATGAGGAGCTTTGTCAGTGTGTTCACCTTTTTCAACAAGGTTGTGTAAAACGGCCATTTGCTGGTACATCATTTCCAGATCTGGAAGTGAACTTTATGTCAGGCAGCATTATTAATACTCTCTTTTTTTTATTTTTGACATGAAGTTTCACTCTTGTTGCCCAGGATGGAGTGCAATAGTGTGATCTCAGCCCACTGCAACCTCCACCTCCTGGGTTCAAGCAATTCTCCTCCCTCAGCCTCCCTTATAGGTGGGATTACGGGCATGCACCACCAAGCCCAGCTAATTTTGTATTTTTAGTAGAGACAGAGTTTCGCCATGTTGGGCAGGCTGGTCTCGAACTCTTGATCTCAGGCGATCCACCTGCCTTGGCCTCCCAAAGTGCTGGGATTACAGGTGTGAGCCATCACACCCAGCCTTACTGATACTCTTTAAGCATTGAAATGAGGAAACTAACAATAGATGTGTCTTGTCCTTCAAAGTAGTGGTTTTGAAGTGTTCTGACCTCCTAGAAGGGTACTTCCTTGGGCCCATTAATTTCTGTCTGCTTTTTAAAGAAGCAGCCCTACTTCTCTGCCCATTGCTTTCATGCAGAAACCGGAAGCGGGAGGAGTTTGGCAGAAAAAGAGAAAATTGGGGGGAGGGGTGGGAAAGGCCACTTTCAGAGGTCACAGGTCATGTCACCTGCTCAGTCCCACCCTCCATAGGATCTGACACTATGACTCAATGACAGCACAGCCTGACCAGCAGCCTAGGAGACAGAGCCCCTACCAGCCTGTTTGGATAACCAGGCCAGTTCTTCCCTGCTTATTCCTGATGGGAACGAGGAGGAAAATTCTCAGAAACAACCTCAACTTTCAATTTGTTTGATTTGTGTTGAGGCTTTTGTTGTGTTTTCTTAGCCAGGGAATCAAGAATGTTTTAATAAACCCTCTTCCACACACACTCATAAACACACACGGAGACACCACTGCCCTCAACCCCTTTCTCCTTCGTTTTACACAATTGGTCATTTCTGGTTCAGTCAATACCAGCTCCCTTCTCACCTCCTTT